ACTCGCTGAGCGCTCAATGGTGTCTTTTTCTTCGTCTGTCTCCTTTTGGAGGCTCATCTCCTGTCACCCTTTTCCAGTTTTTACTTTAACAGCCATTACCTTACCTCTACCATGGCTCAAACCTCATTTCACAGCTTACGGGCAGGATTTGCTGACTTCTTGATGGAAGCGCATATTAATGTTATGCGTTTATATATGCAACAGATTCAAATGCAGAACCAAAGAGGTTTACAGTCACGGTGCATGCTTTGTGATTTATACACAACTATTGGAAATGTCAAACTCGAAATCTGGCTTCTGTTGTGATGAATAACTGCTGGCCAGAAGGAAAATATTTGTACCATGGCAAAGATGCCATTCGTTTTGCTCTCGCTCGTTATGCAGCACAATGTCAAAGTACCCCCGGTGTTACATTCCTTCACATTTCCATCTAGGGATTCATTAATACACATTAGGACTAATACATTAAATCCTTCCACTTGCCATCTAAGGACAAAATTAATTTTCTGCACAGAAGCTGTAAAAAAAAAAAAAAAAAACTTTTTGACTTTTTAAATATAAATCTAACTCTCACTTTTATATTCAAAGTACTAAAGATTTTCTTTTTACAAATACTGTCTTTTTAATTAACTTTGCAAATGAATATTGCGTGATATCAGGTTTTGGGAGACGCAACAGAGAGCTGAGGGGTCGTCAGAAATGGATGCACCGGGGGAAACAGCAGCTGCACTTGTTTGCCAAACTTACGCATTTGACAAACATATGCAAACAATAACGCATTAGTTTGGGTTAATAAACTGATTGTTTGCTTTAGAGATACGCAATCATTCTAAGAAAAAAATATTTCTTAACAAGTTTCAAATGCGTAGAGTAAAATATGGCACATTTGCGTAGTTTTTTGAGGTTCTGGACAAGATGGCAAAAAGGATTACTTTTGACTTTGTTGCCTATTTAATAATTATATTTCCGATTCTGTATCAGGACTTACCTCATATCAGTCTTTAAAGTCAGCGGTCACATGAAGCAGAAGAAGAGAAAATGACAATCCACTCAAACTCCTCAGTCCCAGTTTTGGCTCCACAGCTTCACTGGCATTCCAGTCCTGTCTGTTCCAGTCACGCACGGAGCTCTGACCGTATCTTCCTGACCGGATTCTCTACCTTCCGCGGTAACCGAGACGTGGCTTAGTAGATGAGAGGAGAGGCGCACATCGGGATCTCCAAGGGCGCACGGGAGAGTCACTGCGTCAGGATTGGCCAGAAGGAGATGTGACGCACCAGCAGGTGGCACACCCGTCAAATAAAAAAAAAATGAAAAAACTCAGTTTCATTCATTGGTAATTGCTCTGGAGACTCGAGCACACCAATAAATTAAAACCGAGATAGTATATTGAGAAGCGGCTTTACTTCCTAAAATAAAAAGCGGCATAAAATGCATGGAAACGTGTTTTTTTTTTATGTGACGCTTCTCAATCTAAAGTTTAGTTTATAATAGCATAAAAAGACCACAGAGTAACTTTTTACACTGCATAAATTTATATTAATTCAACATTTAGTTCAGCATTGCTATTTCACCGTTGATTAGATTTGCAAAAAAAAAAAAAAAAAAATGATTAATCTATATCCAATACAATTACCAGGACCCAATTTCACAAAACCAGATTAGAGGCAATCTAGTAAATTCCTGCATACTATGACTTTTTTGTTTAAAAAATCTAGGAAGTCTCTACCCTGAGAAAAATTATGAAAACAAGTTACTCCTTGAAGTAATTCTGCTTAGTAGGGTAGTTGTTTAGAGTAACACTTAGAACTTGATTCTAAGCTCAGATCTGCACAAGGATGTGTAAAGATGACATGTCCTGTTCTGAAAGAACCTGTTAAAGTTGAAGAACAACTACCCTGAAGATGTTGCTTTGATTAAAGAGGGTGGTTGGAGCACCATTAGATGTTTTATCTTTTCCAAAATAAATATCTCCACTTAAAATTTTATTTAATAAATACATCAGATTTGAATATTCTCAGCAAGCACTAATTAGGATTTGTGTGGGAAATTCTTCCTGTATGAAATATAGGCAATGTAAAGATGTCCTGCTACACATTACATTTTTGACTGTTGTGTTGCACTTAAATACATATTCAATGCAAATACAAAAAAATGGTGCATAGAATGTAAAATATTGAAAAAACAATATTTACGTCTTGATTCTGTTATTTACCAGACTTTCTTAAAATACAGGGATTTTCTCTAACATTTAGAAGCAAAGACTACAAATAATTGTTAAATTTTTATCTAAATAGAATTTTTTTTCTTATTTCTGTTTACATCCTTTGTCTAAAAATTAAACTTAAATTAATTTCTAAAGCTGATTTAGAAATACATTTATTTAGATTTCATATTTATACGAAATCTAAATCTTGAATCTAAATACATATCTTATTTTATAAATCTAAATCTAAAATGTGCGACGTAAATGTTTGGAAGATATGGTATTAAACTATGTAAGTTTTAAAGCTCAAAGTGTTGAAAACACCCCAAGGAAAAAGGAATGACAATTAAAAAATGGATACACCCCTCCAAGGACCCCCCCACATCTTTGCCCTAGACCAGGCATCCCCAAACTCGGTCCTCAAGGCCCCCTGTCCTGCAGGTTTTCTCTGCTTCAGCACAGCTGGTTATAATGATTGCAGTAGACCAAAAGCCTGTTAATCAGCTTTCAATTAAAATCAGCTGTGCTGGAGCAAGGAAACCTCTAAAACCTGCAGGACAGGGGGCCTTGAGGACCGAGTTTGGGGATGCCTGCCCTAGACTGTGGACACACATTTTGCTCTTACTGACTCTCGTCCTGCCATTGCCAAGGAGAATAACATTATCTATTTCCATTTGTGAAATATTATTATGTTCTTATTCCCAAGTGAAACTCAGAGTTTATTTGATCTCAAGTTTAGTTACCCAATAGATATCATGTGTTTTGAAAACGAAAGCTCTGACTAGGGAAAATAATTGTAGAAGTACTCAGAGTATTTACTCAGAGTAGGATTGCAATGGGCTATATGCCCAACTCCAATACTTGCTGAATTTTAGCCAGCGCCTACTGTTTTTCATTGCTGGAAAAACTGATTAGTCCAGGTGTGTGTGACCTCAGTAACCATTACGAGAATGACCACACCTGACTTAACCAGATTGTCCAGCAATGAACAACAGGAAACAAAGGAGTTCTGAATTTGGGAAAGTATGGACATATAGCCTTTTCATTCTGTAGCTGAACCCAGGTGCTGACTCAAAGGTGATTATGTCCAAATGCCAGCAACAGTGTTAAAACGATTTAACCATTAAAAGTGGGCAAGACAAGTTTATTTGTATTGCACAATTCAGCACATTGATAATTGAAAGTGCTTAACATGAATCAGACAAAATATAAGAAAAATAAAAGCAGAATTAAAAAAGGGTCAGGTCTGAGTCCGTCATGACACCAAGATTCTGGCAATAATCAGTGGTTTCTAATTGTAGTAGCTGAAGCCGTGAGCAAACTTTGGATCTCTCCTTTGTTGGTCTAAAGATTATTACCTCAGTTTTGTTTTTATTCAGTTGGAGAATATTATGATGGGTTCACCTGGTCATATTGGGATTTAAAGCTGTGTTGCCTGCAAAATTATGGTAATTGATATTGTTGTTTGCTATAATCTGAGCAAAGGCGGAGGATGTTGATGTTTGATATGAGGGGCCCCAGAATGGATGGAATCCTACATGCGATTTTTTTGGTCTCTAATTTAAAGTTCCCTAACAACACATAAGAGTCCCTGTCCTTCAGGTAGGATTTAAACCAGTACAGTGCAGTACCAGAAAGGCTGACCTTTGTTTGGTGCAAAGAACTGCTGAGAGCTGGGTTTACTTGAAAAAGGTTAATTTTTTTTTTTTTGCCACACTATTTGGCAATGGCAAAAAAAAAATAAAAAATGCTACTTTGTATATGCTTAGTATATAACTAATACCGGTAGCTGATCCATTTTATGGTTTTGTCAAAGCAACTTCAAACTATGTATATTTTTCCCCCACTTTACAATTAGGTACCACTTTGCATTGGTCTATTGAAAATATAATAAAAGTTTTCTCAAGTTGGCAGTTGTATTGTGAAGAAAGTTCTAAATATATTTTCCTTGCTTAATAAGGTGCATATCTCCTGGCTGCAGGGATATGGGAAATGAATCCTCAAATAAAGCTTCCTGCTTGGCGTCACATCAGCCCCATGGAGTATATTTCCTGTCCTACTACATAAAAATGCAGAATGGTGAGTGGTACTGAGCCAACTCCCACTAAAATATGCAATACTCCCATCATCCTAATGCCGTGTTGACTGGTTGACACTCTACAAGCATATTTCTCCGTTGGCAGTTGTTTTGCATCCTGTGTGAGGAGAGATGTTGCTTTCCATCTTGAGGATGTTGCAGCACAACTAGATAAGCATATATAAAACTGTGTCTGTTGTAAATACACAGTAAGTCGGATGTAAAGTTGCTGATTTAAGGCATTTTATATTATGGAGTTCAAATTATGTTTGTTCATTTGGGTGGAGGTGTGGAGACATTTTTATAGGAATACAGGTTGTAATTCATTTTAGTGTATCTATACATAAGACTGCATTACATATCTGATTTTATGAAGGGACCTTCTACTTTAAATACATTCATCTAATTTCTTATAAAAACATATTTGAAAAATCAAATATATGTCAGACATATTCAGATAAGACAAAACCTTGGTCATAAAAAAGTAAAAAAAAATCTTGATTCTAGGCAAGAACATCTCCTATAGGTGCCTCCTGCAATTTCACACTGTCTGACTCCTGCAGAACTGCATGGACAGACTGATAACAAAGTAACTGACCACTGCACTGAGATATCACTCTTATTTCAATATGGCCCCTTCAGTCCAGCTTGCTCCTGAAAGGTGTAAACAGGAACTGAAAACAAATAAAGCAAAAGATTTGAATAAATGTGTACCTTGTTGTATCTGAACAAATCCCATAAAATGTTTGAGAAGCTACTGGCAGTTAATGCTCCAGACAGTTTAAGCAAAAAGTTTAATCCTTTCTCAGATACATGCTTGTCCTATTCTATCATCTCCCACAGGGAATGACATTTTGTAAAAGGCTTTTCCTATAAGGAACACCACAGGGCAAGAGAAGCTTAACAGAGCTAGGTAAAGATATAATCTGGAAAAAAACACTAAATATTTCTGATACAGACTGCCGACTAAAATTCTAAGGAATACGAAAAATGCAGGACATTAAAGGTCCCCATGGTTGCCTTATTTAGTATTTCAGTACTAGCTCACATTTGTTAAAACAAAACCCTTTTTTATTAGCAAAACGACACATTTTAGAGAAGTTACAGCATTGAGATCCCAATCCTGAGGAAACATTTTATTTTTCTCAGGAATGCATCCTGTCTAGTATGAAGGACATACAAGGAATGCTCAAATCTGAAAGATAAAGGATCTGCAAGTTTTTCACCATGTTTAGTAATAAAGACCTACAGATAAATATAGCATCCATTCATGTCCAGTAGGCCCTATTGGTTTAAACGGTGGAACAGTGGTGTTCCAAAATAGGTGTTTTACTTAATAAATATTTCTGCTGTCCACCTTAGCTGTTGTTAGGCTTATCTTTCTTCTTTTATTTGTCACTCTTCTAATGCACTTGTGTTGTTGGAAACACAAAACAGTCTATTTTTCTTGTAATTGTTATAGTGTTCACCAGGAAAATCTAATATTTAATTATGACATAAACGTTTAGCAGATCAACAGCAAAAATGCTCATGTCACCTAAAATAGATAAATGGCAAGGTATAAAGATTTTTAGAGTTAACCTCTCTGAGGGACTGTTTTCTTTTACAACAAGCTCATAGCTATATATATATATATATATATATATATATATATATATATATATATATATATATATTTTTTTTAACAAGACATAAGAAAACTGTCACCAATAATACTTTAGCAGATCTTAGGTTGAAAAAAAAAAAAAAAACTAAAATACCATTATATATTTTGATTCTGATCCTGTCTGCACAGGGTCTGCGATAAACAATACTGTAATAATGTCTTTAAAAGGTTTGCAAATATATATTTTTTTCTCTGTTTTTTCTTCCCTATTATACAAATCACTGTCAATAGTTTTC